GCCCACCATAATGCTTGGCTATTTTTTGGTTGCAGTTTGGCCCGGGCAGGGTTCAAACTTGCCACCTTGGGTATATGGGGCTGGCACCCTACCCACTGAGCCACAGGCGCCGCCCAGCATGATCTTTCTTTAAGTCTCATTTGTGTATCAATCTTTTACTGGGAAAGGAAACAAAGATTCCCTTTCTTTGACTGGGATTTATTTTCCTTCATCTTCTAACACTTCTATTTTGCCATTTCCCCTCTCCTCAGCCGAAGGGACAGTTGTTCAAGGGTGGCGAGACTGTCCCCATCCCTGACTTCAGGAACTTCCCAGACTGCAATCCAAGTCACCCATTTTCCCCCACCACAGTTTGTGGCTCATGGATGGATACAACATCCAGGCCGGAGAAAATCAATACGTAGTGTTTCCCTGGTTCCAGTTTTCATTTGGAAGTGGGCACGTTTTCTAAGTCTGTTACTATTAATGGCAAATTGAGTTGGGTTTTCTGTGCTAGAAACATGGAGCTTTATGTGACACAATATCATCTGTATCATTTTTACTTAATCGATTCTTATGAGGGTAAAGATAGAGTAGATGGTATCAAACGGAACAGAGAAACTGTAGTGAGATCATTTCACGGTGTTAAGAGGGAAGGGTCTTAACTGGAATTAAATAATATGAATAAGAATTTGTTTCCACCACTTATATAAGGAGTAATCCCAGCAAACAAATTGTTTGAGTCTCTCTGAGCCTCACTCTGCTGTTCTGTAATAAGAAGATGATGACAGTAGCATATACCTTATCTGACTGTTGTGAGGACTAACTGAAATACTCCAGGGAAAGCCCCACAGTACCTGGCACAGAGGACATGTCCAGTAACTGCTATGATCTTTTAATCCTTGTAAGAAAGCTGATGGCAAGTTATAGTTCTTCAAAATAACTTTAGGTCTATCTTGTTCTTCTTGGATTACAGTCAAGCAATTGTACCACATATCCAGGAGATTATTTATACTTGTTGCATTTAAAAATTGAAAAGAAAAGAAATTCAAATAACATATGCTATTAGAGCCCACTCATTTGTCCCTCAGAATTTTCTGTTGTTGTAGGGAAAACTAAGCAAAATAAGCTGATGACTAAGAGGTCCTCCTTTTTCACTTGCAATAGTCAATACATCTAACAGGGTTGTTCTTAAAACATCTGGGTAATGTTTTCGTAACTCCTTCTACCCTGAAACAGCTCAGGATGCTTGGTTCTGGGAGAAAAACTCACAACCGCTGACTCCAGCTACTCAGCCGTGCTTATGTGGCAATTGATAGTGGCAAATTTCTCAGTTTTTACAGAACAACCAAAAATTTCCTCCGCCGGAAAAAGAAAAATAAATAATTAAGCTTGGGAAGGATTATTAAGCATTCTAAGATCTCTCTATTTCAGACCCCTAATACCTGAGTGGGGTGAAAGACTGACTGGTTTATACAAAATGTCTTTGTCAAATTTTGTTTATCTCCGTGGATCGCCTTAGATTCTGTGACTATTTCTCATAGTGGTATAGCTTGAACCAGTTTCTGGCTCATTACCTTTGTTTCCTTATGCCAATAATTTTTCTCTTACAGCTGAAATGCTCTATTTGCTACCACCTCACGCCATTCTCGGCCGTATTCATACTGAGTGACTGAGGTTATGACAGAGCTCTCAAGTCTACCACAGGCACCCAGTTTCCAAGGAGGAAAGGAAAACAACGAATGCAGAAGAAAGAAATATGACTTCAGCAAGAGAAGGTAGAGACTCTGAATTTATCTGTCTTGATTTGCCTTTGCAAAGAGCATCCTTTGACAAGGGGGTAACTACTATTAAAAAAAAAATCATGAAGAGAGACTCAGAAGTAAGGAAGAGAAAGAAAGAAAACCAAAGTTATATAGAAAGCACTCCCATTCAAAAGTATGATTAGTTAAATAGTTGAGAAAATCCACAAAAAAAAAATTTATCCAGTTAAAAATCTCCTAATACTTTTAACTGAAATTAAACAGAGAGGATGAAATAAAAATATTTTTCAAAGAGAGAGAATTTGCCACCCATCGATGTCCCCTGGAAACATGACA